TTTGGGCAGTAACTTTGAAATTCCTCTGGAGTAGATCACATGGAATCCTCTGCCCAGCTTCCTTGGCAAGCACAGAATGGGGATAAAACCCCATTTCAAACATCTCTTGTTCTCCCTGGGCTGCTGCTTCCCTCCACAGTTTTGGGAAGGAGTTTGGCCTGTCAGAACTTTCCTGTGGAAGAAATGTGAGGAAATGGGGATGATGTGCTTAGATTTGCTGTCATCTGCTGTAGTCACAGGAGGCAAGAGCTCGCTGCTTATTCCGTAAAAGGGGGGAAACTCTGGCAAGTTTAGAGGCTTGTTGAAAAGAAACTGGGCAGCTGACAGTGGAAAATGTCTGTTGTCTCCTGCAGGCAGGGAAACAAGAAGGGAGACAAGTAGGAAGCTTAGAGCAAACAGGATATCAGGCTTGTAGAAAGAAAAAAGCTGCTGTGCTCGAGCGGGGAGGTGAAAGAGAGTGTTAGAAATAAGAAGACATCTTTCAAGAAGTTGATGTTGTCTGATTGAGGAAACTGGGGCAAAAAAAGAATGTAAATCCTGCCAGGCTGAAAGTAAAACCCCAGTAAGACAGGACCAAGAAGACAGCTTGAGGAACAACTTGCAAAAGCATAAAATCCTGTTTATTCATTTTTCTGAGCGTATCAGACAGAAAGTCTTTCAGGGTCAGTAGCAGATCAAGGTAGAGAAAAAGCTCTTGGAGAAGATAAATCCACAAGGGAAGAAAGAAGTGACTGCCTTTGTGTTCACTGGGGAGGAATTTGGGTTAGTTTGTGTTCCAAACCCCTGCTTTTTGGGGAATGGCTCAAATGGAATAGAACATACAGACAGCAGCCTTAACTTGAAAAAAGAGTGTGGATACATGGAGCCTGTCTGAGGGTGAGTAGGGCAAAACTGAATAGAATGGCCTGAATTGGAAGGGATCTTAAAAACCCAACCAGGTTCCACCCTCTGCCATGGGCAGGGACCCCTTCCACTATCCCAGGTTGCTCCAAGCCCTGTCCAGCCTGGCCTTGGACACTTCCAGGGATCCAGGGGCAGCCACAGCTGCTCTGGGCAACCTGTGCCAGGGCCTCAGCACCCTCACAGGGAGGAATTCCCCATCTGACCCTGTCCTCTGGCAGTAGGAAGCCATTCCCCCTTGTGCTGTCACTTCAGGCTCTTTCAGAGTCTCCATGTTTCTTGTAGCTCCTTCAGGCACTGGAAGGCCACAGTGATTTTACCCTGAAGTTTCTCTTCTCCAGGCTGAACAATTCCAAATCTCCCAGCCTTTCCTTAGAGGAGGGGTGCTCCATCCCTCTGTTCCCCTTTGTGGTCTCCTCTGGAGCTGGTTTCCTGCTTTTCCCAGTACAGAATGGGGTCAGCACATCAAATTAGGAATGGGTTCAAAGCAAACCCACATCAAATCTCCAGAATATTGAAAAATGTTCACATTTCATTGGTGTTCAGAAATTAATTGTGTAAACTCCTTGGAAAAGTCCATCAGGAACTACTCAACACCTGTGCCACCTTTGGCTTAAGAAATACCATATGTGAGCTGATCCCAGAGGGCTGGGATGCTCTTCTGGAGATGCTTTTGGGCATCTGACCAGTGCCTGTTAACTTGAGCTGAGTGGCCCACCCTGATAGGCTTGCCAAAAACACCTCAAATGTTCATTTGAGCAACAGAAATTATGTGAGATGTGTTTATAGGTGCATTTTTCCCCTGATCTCCATCCTCTCTGGTGCTGTCAGAACAGAATTTCGTGTCCTTAGTGTTTAAGCACTGGTTGCTAATCTTAGTTTTCTCCCTTTTCAGACAGTTTTTCAGCTGTGCCCTGAGGGGAAAGTGGAGGCAGCCCTGGAGCAGGGTGGTTGTGGTGGTGGGATGGGGAATTTTGTATGACTTCTCCAACTCCACCAGGTTCTGCCTTTGGTGTTCATTAGCATCACATTCACTCAGTAAAAACCTTTTCTGGTTGTCTCTGCAATGTTCAGGAGCCAAGCCTGCCTCTTCCTGATACATTTGGAGGCTTGTTTGGATAGTGGAGACATGGTAGAAGTATAATACTGTGAATAAACGTGATTTTTCCATATTTCCCTGCTGATATGTCTGCTCCAGGGATCAGAGGAAACAGTTCCAGACTGTGGTAGAAAACAAATTCTATGAGTGGCTGGTTCAGACAGGGAACCTGCAGCAGCTGGACAGCCTGGTCCCTCCTGCCCTGGGCTCCAAGCAGGCAGCAGGATAACATTCCTGGGCAGGATAACATTCCTGGGCAGCAGAAGGAAAGGGAGGTGAGTAAAAGGCCTCTTTCTCTTGCTTCTTCTCTCCCCCCAAGAATTGTCCCATGTTGGTGTGGACAGCCAAGGCAGAGGTATTCAGTCTGAGTGAATGTTCTCACAAGAGCCTGGCATTTGGGTTTAGTTCTTACTTTCCTGTCAAAACCCATTCTCAGCTGAAATCTGTGTTCTCAGCATGGCCTTGTTGCAAAGTTTGATTTGTTGGAGGCATCTGTAAGGCAGATGGGCAAATTGCACATAATGTGATATAAAACTGATTGGAATAGCTGCTCTTTCAAAGAAACTCTGTGTATTGATGTCTACCCATCTCACTTTTTGCTGAAGAGAGTTGAGTGAGACTTTGGGTAATGCTTACAATAAGACTTTAGATAATTCTCACTTATTCTTCCCAAGCAGAAGTGGTTTAGGAGCTGGAGACCTGCCCTTATTGGGCTCTTCTGCCATGGCATGTTTCAAACCATTAGAAAATTGTTTTATTTTTGATTTAGCCTTTGAATTCCTATTTTTTCTTTTTCTGGTGTTAGAAGTAAAATTGTCTCCTTTTATTTTGTTCCAGAGCTCTGGGAACAGCCAGTGATCCACTCAGCCCAGTTCTCATTAAGACTTTGTGCCATCCCACCTGCACCCACTGGATCTGACACCCAGCCCTGGTGTGGATGGGACTGCCTGGCTGCTGTGGGATTCCTGAGCATTGCTGCTTTCCCAGGAATGTGCTGTAGCAGTCACCAACAGGATGGCACTGGGGGAAGATGAAGTGTGCCTTGTTGCAGAGCTGTCACAGCAGTTAGTGTCCATGGTGTCCAGCACACCAGGTTTCCTGGGACAAAGCTGGATGCAGGCCCTGGGCATCACCTGCATCCTCATGGTACAAACCAGTGGTGCTGTTTTTATAAATGTGAAAAAGAAATGTTTCAATTTTTAATGAGTGAAATCAAACAGGTTTTTTTTTTTTTTAATATGAAGGTGGCACTTTTTGAAGATTAATTTTTGTATATGGTTGCATCGTTTTGACAAATGTCAATAAACCAGATTTGTTGGATAAACCTGGCACGTGTCCTGTACAGTTGGTCTTAGGGGGACAGCATCTTTTATCTTAACGAGATGTGAACCTGTCAGAGAGAGACACTGCTAATTTATGGGGAAAGTGGAGCAAAAAAAGAATGTAGTCCTGCCAGGCTGAAAGTAAAACTCCTGTAAGCTTCAGCCATGCAGCTGAAGGTTTTGAAGGCTGCCCTGGCACAATGTTTTGATACAAGCCCTATTGCTATCTCTCATAATTTTCATAAAGATTATCAGCTTGAATAAGCACCATTCTCGTGTGCTGGTGGGATGTGTTTTGAGGAGATGTGCTCATAGCTGAGCACTTAAATAAGCTTGGAAAATAGGCAAAGGCATTGCATGGATGAGTGGAGGCAGCAGCTGGTGGTGCCTTGGGAAGAGCAATCCAAGCTGAGAGTGAGGGGAAGGCACAGTGCTCTTGAGTGCACAGCCTCAGAATTCCTCTGAAGGTCTCCCTTGGCTCCTGGGCAGGCAGGTGAGGTGAGTTTATTGTATTTATTCTATTTATGTAATCTAAGTTTATTGTATTTAACCAACCTCTAAAGGAAGGGATGTGCGAAGTGACCACAGCTTTGAGCTGTAAACCTGGTGATAGAACCCAGCTTGTGCTTGATCTCTGATCTTCAGGAGTTAAAAACTAAATCAATCCAAGTGGCCTCAGTGAGAGCAACAGCTCTGGGTGATTCAAGGCTCCTAAAATGGGAAGAGGAGCAGCTGCTGATTGTGTGTGCCCCAGGCTCTCCCATCTGCCTGCATTTACAGAGCTGCTGTTGCGAGAGTGCTTGTCCTGACAGATTTGAAAGAGGGGCTGCGTGTTTCGGGCACTGCTGTGCCAAATTCGTGTCCCTTTGTCTCACTAAGCCTTTGGGCTGGGGCACTGAATAGCTGCAGAGGTGGTTTTTCATAATGCACTGGCGGGGGGGTGGCTGTGGAAGCCAGTGATCCTCGGCCTCCCCGCTCCCAGGGCCGGAGTGTGGCTGAAGGGAAAACTCCTCTGCTCCAACCTCAGGTGCTGGGCTGAGAGTTGGGGTTGAATTTGTGACACTTGCAGAGATAACAGAAATTTGGGCATTGTTTGATGTGTGAAATCACTCTGTGGGGGGTGGGGAGGTGGCCACACATCCTCCTTACCCGCTATGTCAGGAGGTGTTTGGAGTAGTGTGGCTCCAGCTGAGGGTGTCCCAGGAAAATCTGCAGCCTCTTTGCTGCACAGATGTCTCCACTGAGAGCTTTCAATGCAGAGCTGGCCTTTGCAAGCCTCTGATGTCTGCTCTGAGCACTTGTTTGTCATTCCTTAACTGCATCCTTCACTGCACAGAACATTCCCTGATGAATACCATGTGCCCTCCTTACAAATGGGGTGGGTCTCTAAGAGCCAACGAGGATTCCTTCTTGTTTAACAAGCTTGGAAGGGAGGGAGCAGCCAAATTACCGCCCGTCCTTGGCAGGGGGCTGCGTGTTTTGAGTGCATTTGGCAGAGTTTTGGTGTTCTGACTCAGCAAATGGTAACAAAGGGAGGATGGCGAAGCCTTCCTTTATTCCATAATCCTGTTTGCTTTTCTGGAAATCGGCTATAGCCTCAGAATCACTGACTCAATTTTTGGATCCTATTCTCATGACAAAGCGGCTGTCTGGTTTAAAACAAGCCCGTTATAAAAAGGGCACCTCGGATCCTGGCTGTTTGTAACAGCTGCTGACGTTCCTCCGGCACAGGGGAGCTTGGCTGGAACGGAAAATGTCCAGAGCTGGAACCAAGGTAAGCTTGTTTGCAGTGTATTCATGATTTTGGCTAAAAGTGCAGAATTTTGCAGGGATGAATTGTGGAGAAACTTTGTTTTCTTTGTTCTGCTGACAGCTTCCCCCTCTATCAGCGTGTGGGCAGGGGGAGATGCTTGAAATCCCTCCTCACGTGGAGGGAAGCTGGAGCTGAGCCCTCCCAAGTATTTTCCCAGATTTTGGCTGGTTCCTCTAGGTGTGGCTCTGCCAGAGGATGGAGTCAAGCACAGTGAGTGGTGAGGAGGCATTTTGAAATGGTTCTAAATCAGCAGGGTCTGGTGCCTTGGGAATTGGGGGTGGAGGGGCTGTGCCCGCCGGGAATCGCTGCGCCTGCAGAGCGGGGTCTCATGGAAGGCTCCCTTGGAGAGAGCCTGACTGCCAGCACCAGCAGAGCTGCCACATCCCTTTTCCATGGTGGAGCAGAGGGTGTGCTGTGACAGAAGGGCTCCATGGATGGCCACGGCGCCGAAGGGAATAGTGTTTCCTGAGGGATGCACACTGGCCTTGGGATTCGGCGCAATCGGCAGGGATGAACTGAAATCGGAGAAGGAGGTAGGTTGGGAAGCTCAGCTTCAGCTGGAGTGACATCTCAGTGGGATCCAGCTCCTCAGGCTTGGGTTTAGCAGAGCTGAGCTGGCTGATCCCACAGAACTTGTACTGGGTCTGGGACTGGGCAGGGAGAAACAGCTGGGAAAGGAAAGGAGGGTGAGGACTTGGGTCAGTGTCCCCTGTGGAATGCCAAACACTGTTAGGAGGCTGCAGGAAGAACTTCATCTGAGTTTAGCTTTTGGGCTGGGTTCCTTTTAGCCTGTGGAGGCTGTGAGACCCAAGGGGCTTTGGAAGCACAGTGGGTTTGGAGGCACTGGGCAATGCCATGGGAGATCTGGTCCTGGCTCTTCCATGTCCTTCTGCTCTGTGGCTCTCAGGACTTGGGCTGTTGGGCTGGGAAGCCAAGGAGGGTGTGCTGGTGGCTCCTGGATCCCGGGGTGCAAACTTTCTCTACCTGAACCTAAAAAAGGTGCTGGGGAACTGCAACTGCTCCATCCTTGAGTCTCCTGTTAGCTTGGAAATCCTTGAGCACATTCTGCCTTTCCCCTGCTGAAAGCCGTGTCCCCTCGGAGTGTGGCATGGGGAATTAATGGAATATGTGCTGCTGGGGGGCAGCAAGATGGCCAGGAGGAGCTATCTCCTATTTCTCTATGCTGTGCTTTTGTTTAGCACATTCCAGGGAGAAGAAAAGGGCAAAGTAAGGAATTAAACACCATTGCTCACAACCCCGGTGAGTGATCTGCCCTGGAAAGGGATCACTGCTGACAGAGGAGGCACTACTGGATATTTTTTATGAGTTTTCTTCTAATCTACTGTTGAAAAGAAATATGTGATAACTCAGGTGAGGTAACCAAAGTGAGAGTTTTACATTCCTGCAAGGAAGATCTGCTCTGGCAAATGTGGTATGTGCCTGGTAACCCCCAAAAGGCAAGGTTTGGGCATGGAGAGGTTAACAGGGGAGTGCTGGGAGCAGAGCTCCTGCAGGGTTTGGCTGAAGGAAAGCGATTTCCCTGCAAGTGAGACGGGACAGAAACAAAGCTGCAAATCTGGAATTGGAATCTGTAATTATTCTATGGGTGAAGACATCAACCTGCTCTGTTGGTGCCTGAATCCATGCAGGAAAGCTGGGAAGCAAAGGTCTGAAAGGAGCTGAGGGTGTGTCTGAAGGGCTGTGCTGGAGAACAGGTGGGGAGGACCCCTTGAATTCTGAAATTAAACCAAGGAGCAGCACTTAGTTTGGACACAGTTCTGTAGGAACAGCCATATCCTTAACTTGCCTTTGGATTTCTTTGGCTTTGTAGTTTTATAGGGGAAATGCCCCCCTGGAAACATTAGGAAGCTTTGCCAGGCTCCAGTTTGGTTGTGTTAGGCTGGGTGGGGAAGGAACATCACTGAATTCCAGAATGGTTTGAGTTGGAAGGGACCTTAAAGCCCATCCAGTTCCACCCTGCCATGGGCAGGGACACCTTCCACTATCTCAGGTTGCTGCAAGCCACATCCAACCTGGCCTTGAGCCCTTCCAGGCTCCCTCTGCCCAGAAAGCAGATCCACACTGGGCAGAGTTCATCATCAGCCACGTTGGACAGGAGTGGGACAGGATCAGAGCTTGGGGACAGATGCTGGAGAGAGGGATCAGCCATCCTAGCAGAGGATAATGCTACACTGGGAATAAATGAATCCCTGCAGAGGGTTTTCCAGGGGTGCTGTGGCTTCCTTCACCACTGGCTTCAAGAAGAGGGTGACTGGTGATGCATGACTGCCAAACCCAGTGAGCAGAGCTTTCAGTGTTGCCTTTGGGTCAGGCTGGCAGATTTTTTGGGTGATATCTTTAGGGACAATGATCCAGAAGCAGGATCTGGAAAAGGCAGTGGGTTGTGGCTGGGAAGACCTGGCCTGTGTGGTTAACTGCCCAAGAGTGGGAAAACAGGAACTGGGCACTCAGTGCTCTCCTTTCCAGCCTTTATTCACTGCTGGAAAGGTCAGAGTGGTTCCCAGCTCTCCACTGAAGGTGGGAAGAGCTTTCTCAGGATGTTAGGGAACAGGTGGTTTTGTGTGCACCAACTGCTTTGTGCTGGCAAATCAGTCCCTGAAATTAAGAGGAAAATAGCATTATCCTAATAAATGTCAAGTAACAGGCCACAAAATCAAGAGCATGAATCCTCTGGCATGATCAGTCTGACTCCCTAGATCCCTTGGTCAGGCTGGTGGGACACGCTGTCCAACCAGCTCCAGGAAAACTCCGGATAATTTAATTTTTAGCACAAAACAAATGATTAAAAATAAAAAGTGAGAGAGTTGTCCTGGATTTGGGTTGAAACACTGACAAAGAATGATTTTTTAAGAGCAGGCAGGTTACATCAATACCAGTAGCCGAAGCACTATAGGTGAAGTACAGCAGGTGGAGGTGTATCTTAATACTCAAAGTATGGAAAAAAAACATGGGAAAAATGGATTGTGGACCACTGCGTGTTGGGTGTGGCCAGAAAGAGTCTCTCTAGACCATCTGGTGTCGTGAGCATGCAAGGGATGTAGTCAAGATAGATGTGATGGTTTGGGAATTCTCTTGGAGAAGAGCAATGTTTGATGAGTAATTGTCACCTGGAAGGATCTAAAAATGGGGCTGGAGAAAAGACTGGTCTGCTCTAGGGCTTGGCAATATTTTCATGAAAGGATTTTTGAGGAAAACTGGGTCTCCTCTGCAGGGCTGGCTGGGTGGGGGATGCCTCAGGTGGGAGGAATGGGATTCACTAATCAGCTCCCAAGACCATTTCAAGCCAGGCTATGACCAAGGATAAAGTACTTTGGGGTCAGCAGCCTGGCTACAGAGCAGCTCTTGGGAAAGAAATGTGGGGATGGATCGTGAATTTGTCAGAGGTTTCATGGACTTGCAGCAACCAAAGCAGAACTGCAAATACAATCCTTGGATATCCATAAAACTGCTCCCCACCACGCACATGGAATGCTCCCTTAGTTTCTCCTGGCATGGGCAAAGCTTGTGTGATGTCCAGCTTTGGGCAGTGAGTTTTGAGAAAGGAAGTTTTGGGTTGTTCTAGTGGGAACAAGGATGGACTTGAAGACATGAGCTGGGAGGAAAGAGACTTCTCCACCCCCTTATTAGAAAAGATCTCACTGCAAACATTCAGTAAGTCAACATAAATAATGGAATTGTCAAGGCTGGAAAAGCCCTCTAAAGGCATCAAGTCCAGCTGCTAACCCAGTGCTGCCAGACCCATCCATCTCCCCAGAAACCTGCTTTGTACATTCCATTGACTTCTCACAGCTCTCTGGCCACAATTTAGTAACTCCTGATTAGAGAAGGCAAGAGGGAATTGCTTTGATAGTGTTTTGTTGGAAAAAGGACAGGGACTTCTCCACGGGAGTGTTGTGTTGGACAGGGACAGAACAAAGGTCTGGGAAGGGCAGAACACTGGTGGCAGCTGGAGGCACTGGGGCCAGAGAGGTGAATTAGTCTGACTGACTGCAGTTGGTCCCGTTCCATGGCTGGACTTGATGATTTCTGATATCTCAAGGGCTCTGCTTTCAGGTATTTCCTGCCATGATGTGGCTGGAATATGGAGATGTTCTGGATGAGGAACCTCCCCACTCTGCCCCCTCTGCTCATTTCAGGTCACCTTCTATGAAGACAAGAACTTCCTGGGCCGTTACTACGAGTGTGACAGCGACTGCCCCGATTTCCACAGCTACCTGAGCCGCTGCAACTCCATCCGTGTGGATGGAGGCACCTGGGTGGCCTACGAGAGGCCCAACTATGCTGGGAACATGTATGTGCTGACCCACGGGGAGTACCCCGACTACCACCACTGGATGGGCCTCAACGACCGCCTGGGCTCCTGCAAGTACATCCAGATCGTAGGTGTCGCCCCTTCCCAGGGCATGTGCCGTTTACTCCCACCGTGGGAGGGTTTCACCTGGGGGAATGTGGTGTCCATCTTCTGGGGAGCCACAGAGGGGGTGGCTGCAGAGGGTTTGCTCCCGCGGTCCCACTCTGGAAGTAGCAAGGTGTTTGGTGTGGGGAGGAGGTGAATGTCTCCCACTCTGGATTGCAGTGGGAAAAGGCAGATCCCTTTGAGTGTGGGTGAGTTTCCATAAGAAAAGCAGTGTAGTTTCATCAGGATGTTCCTTTAGGGATTTCAGTGTCCAGGCAGGTTGCTCCAAAGTTTGCCTCTCACCTTTTCCCTGATGTGTAACCAACTGATCCAACAGGCTCAAGGCCTGTAACAGTGGAATGCAGATTTTGCAGGAACATTTGGAATGAGGGCCAGTTTCCTCTCTAGCAAGCCAGGACTCCCTTCCAATACAGGGAACAGAATCAGTGTCACCAAACTCCTCTGGGTGTGGAGGGACCAAGCCCAGTAGCAGCCTGGAGTGCCCAGGAACAGGAGGGATTCCTGGAGCCCTCCTTGGCCATGCTTGGAGCAGCCTGGTGCCTCCTGGTGTGAGGAGAGCACAGAAGGTGTGCTCATCCCCTCCTAACTGATGATGGGAGAAAGGAACAGAGGGAATGATCCTTTTGGGAAGCCTGTGGGGAGGGGCATCCTTTAAAACTGGGATTGTGGATGAAGTGTGGATTGGTGCTGCTGCTGCTGAGGTTTTCCAGTAGTGGGGCAGGCTCTGGCAATCCACAGGTTGCTGACTTGGAGCATGGCTGTGAATTCCCACTGCATGGAGCAGGTCTCACAACTGAGAAAGGGTTTTGCTTTTCTGCCTGGGAGCCCTCTGAGCTTGTTCTGGCTTTGAGCTGGGTCTAAATCCCTTTTCATGGGGCAAGGAGAGTTTTCAGCCCATTCAGAGCACTTATCTGGCTTAAGACATGGAGCCAAAACATGTGCAAGACACAAGAGCAGCACATGGAGCCAAAACACGTGTGAGACACAAGAGCAGCACAGCTTCCTCCACCAGGATGAAATGTGGGAGCCTTATCCTTCATATCCACCTGGTCCTGGCTTTCCCCTGTCCTGGGGAGAACCTGAGACCCCGCAGAGCTCGGCTGGGGCTGGCAAGGAGGGAGTGGGCTGGGGAGGCAGGGAAGAGGTGTCCAGGCAGCTGCAGATCAGGCGCTGCCGCGGAGCCTTCGGGCAAGGAGCGCTTCCAATCCCGGTGGGAACCAGTGCTGCCTCCGCAGCAACACAGCCCGGCCGGGGTCAGCAGCTCATTAAACCCCTCTCCGCCCAGAGGAGAGGGGACTGGAGGGGGTCTGGCTCTCTGATGCTCACAAGGAGCACTGAGGGGTTCAAGGCTGCCCGGGATAGCGAGACCAGCACTGCTGACTCAAGCTTATCCCTGTTCTGCATGTGATGCTCTGTTAAAATATACCCCAGCTGCTTCCCCCTGTGCTTTTGGAGGCTGAGGTGAGATTTCAGCCCTGTTCTGGTGTGCTGGCGTGGCTGGTACCTGATTGGAGTCTGGCTGTGCCCAAACTCTGCCCCAGTGTCAGAGCTGGGACGTGTCAGTGCCTCCATCTGATGCTCTGGTTGCCAATGAAGTCACCCAGAGCAGCTGTGGCTGCCCCACCCCTGGAAGTGTCCAAGGCCAGGTTGGATGAGGCTTGGAGGAACTGGGATAGTGGGAGGAGTGCCCACCCACGGCAGGGAGGTAGAACTGGATCATCTTTAACTCCCTTCCTTTCCATGACTCTATGATTTTCTCTCCTTTTTTTTTTTTTTTTTTCCCCCCCAGCCAAGTGGAGGCCGAAGCCACATCCAGGTGTTTGAGAAGGGAGATTTTGGCGGGCAGATGTTCGAAGCCACCGAAGACTGCCCCTCCATCATGGAGGAGTGGCACATGCGTGAGGTGCACGCCTGCAGGGTGCTGGAGGGCGTCTGGGTGTTCTACGAGCATCCCAACTACCGGGGCCGGCAGTACGTGCTGCCCAAGGGGGAGTACCGCAAGCCCGTGGAGTGGGGCGCGGCCAGCCCCGCCGTCCAGTCCTTCCGCAGCATCTCCGAGTGAGCCAGCCCCGTGGAGGGCTGCCACACCCCCCCAATAAAGCAACTGAGTCGCTCAGCTCCACCTTGTCCGCCTTATTCCCGGGATTTTCGTGCGACACGTCCTGCCTCGGGGGAGCTGGGGTGGAGCGGAGTCTTCTCTGCCTCATTGTCACCCCCTTCCCCATTCCCTGTCCTCTGTCCCACTGATCCTTTAGGAAAAAGCCATCCTGAAGCTGGAGTTTGTGCTCCAGTGTTTGGGCATCCCGGTGGAGTGGTGGGGCCACACATCCCTGGGTTCCAGTTTTCGGTGGTGGCTGTGGGTGGCTCGGTCTGTCATGTCCCTGTGGAGTCCCTGCCTGCTCTGTTGCTGCTCCGTGGTGGCTTGGGAGAAGGGATGAGGTTTTTGTCAGTGCCATGTGTCCTCCTGGACACCCTGAGCAGGCAGCTGCTGTCCTGGTACTGGATGAGTTTGTGCTTCTCATGATGGATAGGGTGACAGGATTGGGAAAAAAATGGAGATCCCAGATGGAGCAGGAGGGGGACAGCCATAATCTCCATGGGGAATGGTGGGGACACTGGCAGCCCAGCGTGTCAGGTACAGGATGGCCCCTGGAGGTGTGGGCCAAGGGATTCAGCTGCTTAAACTGGGGCTGGGCACCACATGGAGCCAGGAGCTGGAAGCAGGAGAGCAGACTGGATGTGGGATAGAGGCAGTGAGTTCCTCTGGGAGATGGCTGCTGAAGGGCAGGAAGAGCTCCCTGGACACCTGAGATGTGCAGAGAGTAAAGGGGGCTCCCAGTCAGCCCAGTTTGTCACCAGGAACATCCCGTTTTGCCCTGTGCTGCCAGAGGAGGGGCAGATCCTAGGCACAGCCTCCTGGGCAGGAATAACTGATGGCTGGGCACTCTTCCCCTGGGAACCCTGGGGAGCTGCAGCCTGTTTGCACACAGAGCCAAGGGGCTTTGGGACAATGAGGCTGGAGGTGGCAGCAGAGCCCTCCCAGCCATGCTCTGCAGTCTCTTCCCATTGATGTATGAGGTTATTACAGAGCAGGGAGCCAGGGGAAGGGATGCTTGTCAAGCCACGGGGCTGCCACCTCCTGGGAAAGCTGCTGCCGGTGGGGAATGAGAAGGAGTTGCCAAGTCCAGCCCCCTGGACTTCCCCCGGCACAAAGATGAGCTGAAAAATCGCCTTCCCCTTCTTCCTCTTCCTCCTCTCCCTGCTATCACCCCCTCCCTTACCACCCTGCCCTATTCCAGCCTTCCCCTGTAAACAGTGATGCATCTTCACTCACTTCCATCCCTCCTCACTCCTCTCCATCACAGATCAGCAGGATGCAGATGATCCAGCAACATGGCTGGGTTTCACTGTATTTTTCCCCATAATATTTCTCCAGGACCAACCAGCCCTCAGCTCCAGCTCCCCTTTCCCCCCTGGCTCCTGGCAAAACTCTCCAAGGACAGCAGCTTGAGCACAGCCTGGCTCCTGAGTTTTTGTGACAGTGAGCCTGTTGCTGTCTCTCTTGTGGATGAAAAATCTGTAGGTAGGTGAGCTCCACCCAGTGCATTTCTAGCCACCTCCCACCCTGATTTTGGGCAATGTCCCACTCTCCCCATGCCCTGCACTGGATGGGTTTGGGATGCTCCAGCTCTGTGGATGCTGGTATGCATCTACCCTGGAGCATTGGAGGAGCCAGACCTGGATCTGGTTTGTCCTCAAGGTAACATTTTCCCATGCCCTCCCCTTTCACTGCTGATCTCCCCACTTTTAAAACCCAATTATCCCAAGTCTTCCCTCCTTTTCCTTGTCCTCCAGGCTCTTGCCCTTGGGTGAACATTGTGTCCTCAACACTTGCAACTGACACAGATAACAATAAACTGCTACTTGGGTGTTTTTTTACCATTAGTTTTTATTTTATTGTGATTCCAGATGACTTTTTCCATTTTTCCCCTGCCACGGTGGAGCAGGGCGCCCGTGGAGATGAGCGGGGAGCGCAGCAATGCAAGCCCAGCCGTGCTGATGCCGGGTTTTCCTTGACAGCTAATTTCCATTCCCCAGTATCAGGGGGTCTGCTCCAGTAATTGGCATGCAGATTGTGTCCGGTGGGCCTGTTAGACATGAGCAAAGGCTCTGCTGCTTGGAATAAGCCAACCCCAGGCTGATGGATGGGGTGTAAGGAGGTCATGGGGAGAGAGAATTTCCACATGCCCATGTGCACACACCTATGAAATTTCCCATTCCATGCCCTCCCCCCATCCCTACTTTCTTTATCCAGCAAACTCTAATCTATCATATTTCATTGAGACAAATCCTGCTCCATTTCTCTGTCTTTCCCTTTTTTCCTCTAAGGGAAATGTGATGGAACCTGCTCCTGGATTTAATGAGAAGATGGTGTGGCATAGCAGGAATTAAAGCAGTGCCATGCTTCATTAGCAGCTGGGGATCACATGGAGCAGGCCCAGATGTTAATTACACTTTGGGAATTAATTGGTATGAGGCATTCCTCTCCTCCATCATCCGTAATCTGGTGGGTGTGTGAGGACTTCTAGAAGCAGAGGTGGCTGTCTTTCTGTCCCCCCTCCTCAGCCTGCCCGGCATTGGCTGGTTTGGAAATTTTGAAGTCACCTTCATTTCCATCCCCTTGGTGCCCAAGGACCTGCTGTAATTTTCACCTCTTTTCCTTCCTGTGCCTCTCTCCTCCAAAATTTTTCTCCAGCTGCTGGGGAAAGAAGGCCTGGATGGGATGGGGCAATGGTGGGAAGTGGCACTGTGTTGAAGGAGGAAAGAACATCCCCCTCAGAGCTGGTCATCCCAGTGGATTCCAGGACATCCTGGTCCTTTCTCCTGCTCCTTGACCTGTCCTTGCTGACCCATCCCTTCCCTCCAGCTCTGGAGGCAGACAGGGGAGCCTCAATCTGTGCCCACAGCACCTCTGCTGCAGAGATCTCCCCAGTTGTCAAAGGCCAATGGTCTCCAGTTTCTTCCCTTTTCCACCTTGGGTTCAGCCTGACAAAATGCAAAAGCGGAGGCGGGTGTTATTTTGCCAGAGGACAGAAATTATGTGCTTGGAAATGAAGAATGTTGTTGCAGTGGAAACGGCCACGATACACAGACCGTCACTACACAATTTCAGAAAGCCTCAACCCCTACAGAGTAACACCACACCACTTCAGAAAGCTGCGTCTGTCCTTCTTGTTCTCTAGCCCAGCCTTTTATCCCCTCATGTTCACACACTGCCCCTGTGTGCCCTCTGCTCCCTTTGGTGTTGGTCAGTGCCCCTGGGCACTCCATGGCTCATTGCTGTCAGTGCTGCTCACCTGCTGCTCACAGCTGTGCCACTGGGGATGAGGCTGGGCCCCATCCCAATCACCACAAACTGTGTGCCTACAGAATATTCCTCTGAATGCTGCCAATTTGTTCTTTTCCTGAGCTGGCTGGTGGTGGCCCAGCATGGGGCACGGATGTCACTGTGATGGAGCAGCACATCTCTGGGATCTGGCCTGGAATTTACTGCACAGTCCCAGTGGGACACTCAAACTCAGCTCTGCTCCCCCGCCAAACTGCTCCCAGGCCCTGACAGTGGGACGCAGCCACCCCAACCAGCCCATGCTCCCATTTTCCCTCCTCTTCCTGAGGTCCTCAGGGCTTTGTGGGTCTTCCCCTGGTGTTGCTCGTTCTCCTTGGTCTCAAGGTGTCAGCACCTTGATGCATCTTTGTTCTGCCAGCAAAGATCACTCCTGAATGAGAGCCACTGTCCCTTCCCTCCCATCCCTGGGAGGGCTCAAAAAGTGTGTGGATGTGGCACTTAGGGACAGAGATATGGCACACCAGAGAAATTCAAGGCCACTTTGGTAGGAGTTAAAGAAAACCAATGTTTTCAAAACTGCAGAATTAATGGTTTTGGTGTTGGATGGACAAAGGAGATGTTTAATCCTTTTGTTTAAACTCTTTTGATTTTAGTTCTTGATTTCAGTTCTTGATTTCTGGTTTAGGGGTGGGCGTGGCAGTCCTGGGGGAACAATTGGTGCTTTTAGAGGACTTTTCCAACTTAAGCAATTCAATAATTCTGTGATTTCACAATTCCATAACTCTATGATTCCATGATTCTATGGTCTATGATTCTGTGCTTCCATGATTCTGTGACTCAGGGCAGCACTGCATTGCCATCCCTTGCAGCCCTGCCTCTTCAGATCCTGCATTTCCCACCACCTGCTCACTGAACCCCAAGTCCCTGAATGAGGGATTCTCCTCAAACCCTACCTGGGCAGTCTGAAGGTCCTTCCCAATGAGTGCAGCCCCCACTTTGATTTTGGCAAAAACGCTTTCCAGATGTTGTTTTTCCTCTGTTTTATGTGTGACCCACCCTGTGCCTTCCCTGTTGGCCCTGGCTCAGCTGTGATTTCAGGATGCTCCTTCCATCCTGCTCTGAGCCTGTAGGTGATGCCTTGTGAAGGCTGACCTAGAACAGAGCCTAGACAGAACTAAAAAACAAAGTAGGGATTTATTAAAAGGCCTCCATGGATCCAATTTGGGCAGTGCAAGAGCCCAGCCAGGGCTACACCCCAGATGAACCCAAAATGGTCACAGAATGGACAACCACATCATGAGGTCTCACACTTTTATAATTTGTGGTCCATTTTCATATTGGAGTTAATTGTCCAGTTACAGCTTTAGGTTATGAAGTCCCATCCCTCTTGTTTTTCTCTCTTCATTCTGCTGTTGTTTGTGCTCTTGGGTATGAAATTTGGATCATTTGTCCTTGATCCCCAGCTAGAGAAGGAATTGTTTTGTCTCCCTACTCTGTGCAGAGAGCTCACCATTCCCTAATACGAAGCTCAGAACTACACACTAAAGCAGCACAGAATCTGAAATATATAAAAGCTAAAACCTGAGGCATCATGGAGAAAGTCTAGCCCAAATCTGGGCGGGGAGAGATGGAGCTGGTTTGTGTCTCTCACACACAGATGTCCTGGAGACTCCATCAGTGTCTGGCCACTGTCACACATGTCCTGTCACCCAGAGGTGCCGGGCTGGCC